TCTTGGGACCACAAAAGTACCGTTGGAAATTACAAGTTCCCTGAAGCATATACAAGTGGCATTGAGGGAATCTGCATATGGTCGCTCTCTCTCTCTCTCTCTTACCTGCTTGGCTTTGACTATTATCACCGACGGAACGCTGCCAAAACTCTGCAAAGCAGAAGCGTGTTCGGCCCCCTCTTCGTTGCAAAGCAGTTTACCCACTGCACTGATCACTGCCAAAAGAATCTTCCAGATTGGTGGCAACAGTAATTTCATGCTGTTCTACCTAAGAGGTCGAGTCGTCTCCCCCAGCCTTCTGCGCAGGGTAGGCAGCCATGCCAGGCCATTCACTGGTGGGAAGCTCAGATGCATTGGTTACTGGGAAGGGGTGTTCCTTCTGATGCCCACCATTCTTGTGGACTAGGTTTATAGTCAAAAGAACAGCAAGCAGCAAAGCTGAGGGTTGCCAGGTTTTAGAGGCGTCAGATCTATGCTAGCTGGTTCAAGCTCTTTTCCGTCCTACTTTTTGGGCGAAAAGACCCATACATCAAGTCGCACCACGTACGTGGGTCGTCCGCTGAGGTCGCTGGACGGTGCCAACCTGAGTCCCTTGAAGCACCGGTGCTTCAGGACTTGGAGCTAAATTTGAAAGGACATTTTACCAATTTGATTGGAGTTCTACAAATCTTTGACGCTTCGCCCAGCTCCGGCATTTTCCTTCTACAAGTACAGAGAGCTCTTCTACTCCTTGCTTGGAGCCGAGCAAATAAGTCTCCGTGAGACTTTGTAAGACTCGTGCAACTTTTGTGGCGCTAATCTGAAGTCTGGAGGAATACATGCCTTGTGCAACTTTTTGCCTACCTTTGCAGTGCATGAAGTGTTTTGACCTTGCGACATTCCACAAAATCCCAGGTGTCATACTTGACCCGTCAGACTTGTTTCACATGCATCAGTCGCTCTGTGGTGACCTTTGTGGGAGCCTCTTGGCAATTAGGCCATATACATTGGCGGTGTTCAACCTGCAGGCGGAACATGCTAGCTGCTGCTGGTCAGTATATTTATGACTCGGACGATTTTCATTGACAGAACAACTCACATGGGCTTTGAGCTTGAACTGTGAAAGGGCCTCACCTGTTTGAGTCCGCATGTCTCTGCCAGGGTTGCAATTCTCCTTGGAGGCGTCGGTCTGTTCGCGGTGTTCGCCCCGCCAGTTCCGAGGACCCCCGTGGTGCCCTTTTTTTCGTCCGCAGAGGTTGGGTGATGTCCCCGTCGATCGCTACTACTGCGAGTATTTGTCACGACCCCAGGAAAAGGTTGGGCAGGGGTCACCGACCAGAAAGATGTTTTGACCCACTAGCGGTTTTTGGCACATGTTTCTTTTATTTCTTTTCAGTGTGGCAAGGAGGTGTACATGATAAGCAACTTGTTATTGGACAAGTTGCAAAACATGGGTTGTGCAAAACAAAGGTACTCCTCTTTGCCAAGGCTTTTCTTTTTTTATTAAGTAGTGTTTTTGCCACAAAATTGGTTGCAGCCTGAATGTACCATCCATCGCTCCTAAGACGCTGGGGCGTCTAGGTCCGAAAACGCTGTGGCAGAAGGTACCCATTCATTTTCTTCGGGTTTGGATGGTATCCTAGTTTTGAGGCAGACTCATGGGAGAAATAAGACTACACGGACAACTTGAACTGAAAGAAGATTTGGAAGATGCCTTAGGTACCAGTCGTTTGAAGCGACGATATGTGGGAAGATCAACGAGAACAAGTTCGCAAACTATATGGGTCAGGACTGCAGAGAGACGCCCAGTTCAGCCGCTTTCAGATGCATATGAGTTTCAGGAAGCCTACATGTGCACCGACTAGTTCAGTAGCTTGCATCGGCCAAGACTTTATTGGACATGCATCTTTGGCTTCCCAGGTTTGAAAACCGCACAGAAGTGTTTCACGAAGCGCTTCGAATCATTTGACCAGGTAGGTTCATCAGGTGCTTTGGCTTTCACAACTTTCATTCCAGACCTTTACTTTGGGGTCACTTCTTGTGGACGAACCTTTCATTTCAACGTTTCGACGGATTCCGTTGACCAAAATTGAAGTACACACACATATAAGGTCTAAGCAGCGCGTCTCGCAGATAGGCTATGGCTGCAGCTTCGTATGTTTCCTGGTCTTTGTTCCGATTCATGGCGCATGGACAACGCTGCGTGTAGATCCTTGGGCCGCGCAGCGGCGCAGCGGCCGTCAGGAGTTGTACTTCCCCATGCTGGACGCCGGATGTGGGCAGAGTATTTGCCTGCCTGGGTCACAGACTTCCCCTCGTCCTTGGAGAGAAACGGTACCGACCCACTGAGTCTGGAAGAACAGAACCCTTGGAATCCTTGTGACGAGAATCTGGAGCGTTTGAGTAAAGAAGTGAATCTGTTCTGAACCAAAATGCTATTCTTGAACCGAAACTGCCTGAGGTGCTATGCGCATTCAGATGCATATCACGATTTCAATCTGGAACTCCTTTGTAAGCCAGGCGCATAGTCTTACACAGACTGATCTGGTAAGCCGCCCCTGAAAGCTGGCTTTGTACTTGGGATGCCTTCCTGTACTTGTCTTCCGAGGAAGGATGGTCACAAGCAGTTCATGGGTCAGTGGGGTCAGGACAGAGTGTCGAGTTGAAAGGACAAAAACCTAACGGGTCGGTGCGACTCGTATTGCCCATTGCCCATTGCCTCCCAATAGAGATTCCATTCCGGGTCCATTCCCTTATTCCTTGCTAAGCACCAGTCAGAGTACCATGCTGAAGACTCTTGAAAAACGAAGGACCAGTTCTTGGTGGAGAATGTCTTCGGCATTGAAGATCTTCATGGGCGAGGCCACCAAAGGTAAACGTTGACAGTGAACAGCTGTTTGAGAACACGCTTTGCTCGGAACCATGCTTGGCACGTGTCAGCTTTTCGCTACAAGAAGGCTTCTGTCTTGTCAGGTATCTATGTCGATGTGGGTTCTTCACATCCTTTTCATCTCTCGAACACTGCGCTGGCTCCTCAAAGCATGCCTGGCTCCGTCGAGGGACACGTTGAGGGATCATGAGAGTTTCGTTGCTTTCTGGGCCATGCTTGGCCCATTGCTCGGCCATGCTTGGTGCTTTCCATCAACCGTGGCACTGAGGTTCTTGGACACTTGCCTGAAGTGGCGAGGAGTGCTCCAGCTCCAGTCAGGAAGTGGAAAGTGGGGGTCTTCAAAAAGGGCTTGGTCAGTGATTGTCATCTTGGCCCATATCGGTCAAGAGGAGCCAACCAGACACTCCAAAAACCTGCGTTTCATGAGCATTTCAGGTTGAAAAACACAAGCAAACCACCCTCCTGCTCATCTTGGGATTCTCTGTGAGATGCACGTGCCTTTTTGGGACCCGCATCGCCACATCCACATCCATGGACCTGTGTGGCCTTGCGTCCGCGTCGGTCCGATCAGGTATGCCTGGAGCCGAATCCGCGTTTGAAGCACAGCATCCAAGGCTTGAGGAGCTCGTGCCATATGGGAATCGTTTCACCGGTAATAACTAGAAGCTACTAGGTGGAGGCCATCGCTATTAGGGTGGAGGCCATCGGGTGGAGGCCATCGCTAGTAGTAACAAGAAGCTACTAGGGGAAGTGACGCTCATGTACTAAAGTATGGAACCCCTCTGGCCCTGGCTGGGTAGACTGGTCCATATTCCGAACCGAACCCAGGGCGTCGTTGTCTGGGAGGTCTCCCTGTTTGCATACAAACCAAACCCATATTTTCAGTCCAATTTCTGTTGCATGCTGTCCCTTCAAAGACTTAGGCATTGCTTTGTACAGTAGATGACATTGCTTCAGTTTCTTCCAGTTTCTTCCAAGCATTTGATGCATCGCAACAAGGTTCTTCTAATTCTAGCATTCTAGCACCCGTCAGTGCCCTGGGAGCTTTGACCCTGAACCATCTTAAAGGCCAAGGAGATGTTTAGGATTCTCCATGTCCAACGTTGACCACGTTGAGAGGAGCTGCACCGTCGTGGAAGCCTGTGCCTGGGCCAACAAGACCAAGATGAAGCCAGGTCCTTGAACTGATCACTGAAACCATTTGAAACCTGTCCAAACCAGACGTAAACTTGCGGTGAACAAGAATCGGATGGCCCCCAGAATGGACGCCAGCAAGCCGGTTTTTAGAGTGTCCGTGGCGGCTCGTGGCGACTCGATGGGCCTTCCCAGATGTCAAGGCCCAGCAGAGCCCATTCTTTTTTGGGGATCAACTTATTACGGAGCTTTGCGCCCGACCGTGTGCCTCTGAGCCGACCAAAACTCGGACCATTCCAGGTCAAGGTGGATCCCGCAAGGTCCGGTATGCCTCAGGTTTGCCAATGGATTGGAGCTGGCGGCCAGGACCACAGCAGACGACTTGAAGCCGAGCCTGCCTGGCGAGGCCTGATGCACTAGCAGCACAGAATATATATATATATCTGGTTTCATTTGACCCAGAACGGCAATATCATGCATGCACATCTCTGCATCCTCGTGAAACTGGTCGTCAATTCATGGCTGCGCATGACATGTGGGTGACAATTGGCACTTTCAGACAGCCTCGACGGCGTGTGTAGTTCTCTGCAGAATGTGTGCATCTGGCAGAGAAACCCATTCAAAAAACCCTAGTATGTGTTTCTTCATATTATGATCAGAGCCCTTCAATTGTTGCAGATTCCAGAAGACCTCGTTCTCTCTGAGACATTCTTCGAGGTGCGCATTTTTATGTCTTCCTTCATTGCTGGCTTTATGCTGTCATGCAACAAGGCAGTTGATTCTTCAGAATCAATGACTTGCGTTTCCGCTTACAATGCCGGGAGGATTTTGACACAGTGCTGGCCCGCTCATGCTCCTGTCATGCTTTTGCCGTTTCTCGTAGTTTTAAGATCAAACAAGGCGCTTGCACTAGATACTATGACACCATGAAGCTATTTTCAAGACAGGTGGAGTTGATGCAACATGTGAACAAAAAGATCACATCAAGCGCAGTCGCCTTTGTTTGGATTCAAGTAGTCTTGGTGCGGGTTTCATCCTTGGATAGATTGGAAGACATCGACTCAATAAAGCGTGGGATGCGATTCAGACATCTTAGATAGTGGCATCAAAATGGATGTCACGCTTGAGGGCCAGTTGTCCACCGCATCTCGAGCAGCACTATGGACCTCATGACATGTGACATCGAGGAGACAGGGACGTTGACGAACGAAAGAGCGTTTTGAGATGTTTGGAGGCCGCTTGCAGCTGCTCGTCCATGTTTTTTCTAACATAACTTAGTTTCCCTCAAAAATCTAGGAACCAAATCACTAGTGCGAGCGTGAGCTATTCTGCGTCCATGCTAGTAGCTTAAGTAGCTAGTAGCTAGCTACCTCTTCTAGTAGCTACCTAGAGGCATACCTCCCTTCCCTGGCCGGCAAAACACAAAAAAAACACAGAAACGTCTTCAAGCTTTGTTCCGAACTTCTGAGGCCCTCAGAGAGCGCTTGGCACCTGTGGGAAGCCTTGAAGCTCTGGAAAGGCTCTTCTTGCAGTGGGGCATCACCACGGCCAGGCGGAACGTTCGCGCACCGAAGCACGGTCTGTCTCTCTCGGTCGGTTCCGTTTCGCACGGTCTCCGTTTCGCCCCGGGTCGCCCCAGGTCCGAAGCGAAAGGGGCACGTGGTGAGATTGGATGATTTAGACTTGATATTTGGTGAGATCGTCGATCAAGTGATTCCGAAGATGAAGACAAACATCTGAATGAATCCATGCGCATGCGCTGGATAGCTTCTTGTTGCGGAGACACACGAGGGCCGCCTTCACAGGAAGCTGTCATGGACAAGCCCAGAGCGCTTTGGGAAGCTGCGCGCCGGTGTATGTGGGAATGATGCTGGTTTTGCTTTTTCCTTTGAAGTGATTGAAGTTTTCTGATGCCACACAGGGTTTTCTTCAAGGGTAGTTCTGTAATTAATCCATTCTTGTCTCATGCACAACTGAGGCTACTGGATGCGCTTCCTGTCAGTTCGAGCCCCACTGAAGGAGAACTGGTTGATTCTGCCTCACAAGAAGGCCATTCAACTTAGATGCCCCAAACCCTAAACCACACAGAGAATAGCACACTTTGCATCTCCATCAGGACAATTGTCGGACCTTCGAGCCCTGCAGTCTGAGCTGTGGGAGTCCAGACACGTGAAGCATGAGGAGAGGGTGTGGGGACTCCGCATCGAAGGTGGTGGGTGCTAAGGTCTTCCAAACAAAGAGAAGCCCTCAAATCATTTGTCGAAACATGCAAGCTTTGCAACAGACCCCATTTTCTATCCTGTTCAAAGTTTGTGTATATAGTAGTGTAGGGAAGTAGGGAAGTGTTAAAAAATGAAATGCCACACAAGAGGAGATTCCAGAGCGGAAGCATGGCTTCCTGCACGTCTTGGAGTCAGCGGCAGGCATGGCCCAGGCGCGAAACCGGTGACAGAAAGGCGTTTGGAGCTATCTCAGCCCTGGTATGGCAGGGTTTTGGAACAAAGGACGCTACTAGGGGCTCCTGGCATCGCTACTAGGAGCAAGGAACGCTACTAGGGGCTCCTGGCCGTACTACTAGTGACAAGAAGCTGCTACTTACAAACAAATTGAACCATCGGCCAGGCATTGGGAGCACATTGCTCCAGGACTCAAGGATACGTTGACTAGTCTTGGCAACTCCCAGTTGTACTAGTGAACGTGCACTGCCGCGGAAAGCAGTTTGTGAAGCTGGCCACCCAACGACTTGGCATGGGACAAAAGGTGACTCCACTCCACAGGTTGCTCAGTCCAATGAGATGCCAAAGCATCTGAAATAAGCCAGTCGCTTCAGGCGCAAAGCAAGACGCAGCGGGAAGTGGTAAATGAGGAGGCTACCAGGCGAGGATCAACTTTGGGATGCATGTTGTTTTGGGCTTGTCTTCTTTGGATGCCATTTGCTTTGTACACTTTCTGTCAATTGCTTCTCTCTTTGACCGAGAGTTTCATGCTTCATGACCCTGCAACATTTATTGATTTGCCCTGATAGCTTGTGTTCCTTTCAATTCGAAGGTGGCCGTACATTTGTACTTATCCTAAACTGATACGCACTGTCGGAAAGTTCAAGAACTATATGCAGATTCACCCCAGCTGGTTACAGAGGTAGCGAATTGCATTTCACGCCCAGTTGCTGCTGCTGCTGCTGTTGTTGTTGTTGGCTGTTTGTGGATAGCTAGTTCCGTTGGCTGCTGAATTGGACGCTCTGCAACGCTTCCTGGCGCAGGACAGATTTTGGAGCCCGTGAGGCCGATTTCTTTATATTTTTGCGCTTTCTTGTTGGGTCTGGGAGTTGTTGGCTCCGTACACAAGTTCCTCAAAGCAAACCTCATCTTGAATGAACCTAAAGTCATTCAATAAACCTTCATAATAACATCTAAAAATAACAAGAAGTCTCAAGAGAAAAACACATCTCAATCAAGAACCCTTAAACCGAAGAAAGAATCTTGCAGTGAACGTTGCGCTTGAGGTTTTTCAACCAAATGTGAGGCTGCCAAAGGGATGATTGGGCAAAGTGGGCGCTTGTTGCGCGAAAAGCTGCAGCAGCACTTCGAAGGCGTCAGTGCTCATGCCTTCACCATGATGTCAGAGCCTCAACGGAACCAGAGTGGTGAACCGGGGGCGGAGATACCGGGGGCTAACAGGCGACTTTTTGAGCCATGCACCAAGTGGCTTAGCTTGGTGTCAAACTTCCTGTTCACTTGTGACCTGGCAGAGCCGGGAACTCAAAATCCAGGTCAGGGAGATGCTGGACCCGAACCCTTACCCTTTGTCCCGTTTGCAGACAACGTTCAAGTTCATTTTTGATACACATAATTACATACTTCAAATGGGGGTATATGGTAGGCAATTCGGCAGTGCGCCGTGACTTAAGACTCCAAGTATTATGGTAATGTTCCAGGCTCTAATCGTTGAAGGTTCAAGATCAGGAACATCCTGAAGTGAGAGGTTGCAGCATGAATCTCTGTAGGCTCTCCCACTTGCCCTATGAGAGCTTGGTCTCTGCATTCGAACAAGCCCGACAGGAGCTTCATGATGTGAGACGTTTGGATCCTTTGTGCTGTTGATGTGTCACTGTGATGTTCTATTTACTTATTGTTTCTACTAGCTTCTTGTTCCTAGTAGTAAGGCCCTTGTTCCTAGTAGCGATGCCCTTGGTTCCTAGTAGCTTCTTGATTTTGTCTCTTTTTGTTGCAGTTGCTTTTGTAGTCAATTGTTTGGGATAAAGACTACTACCTTCTTGTGCAACCTGCCTTTGTGAGGAGGCTTGGTATCCTTTGCTGACTCGGGATGTGCTGAATACTGCACTCCTGAGGTTGGGGTATGGAACAGTTGGGTCAGGAAAGTCATGAAAGCCACTTTGCCAATTGAGAGGGCTTGATTGTTTGATAGTTGTGCAAGGAGAACATGACACCATTCTTAGAAGTAGGCAAAATCCTCTACTGCATTGAAACCCTGAATTTTGTGGAGACACCAATAGATGAATAGAACTCAACCCTGAAGGCAAGACTGGGCAATGCGGTCCTCTTTCATGAATGGCTACATTCCCCGCACCAACCTGATTCCTCTTTATGGTCGCTTGCCTTGGTGAAAGATCTGCGGGGGCAAGATGGTGCTCAAGGTGCTGCAACCTGCAGTTGTGCAATCTTGTTTGATTCTAGCGGGAAACAGGGCACCTCCAAACCCTGTGTTGTGTGTTTCTTGATACGCCGTGAATGGTGGCATGCCCAAGAGCATCACTGTTGAATCCAAGAACAATACTGAACTGGAAGGAACCAGTTTCCCAAAGGCTCCTAAAGGCTCCAAAGGCTACTAAAGGCTCCTACGTGTTTGAGCAGCTACTTCTCGCAAGATTTAGAGCGAGCTCTCAGGTTCTGGGCACGTCTAGCCCTTGCGTTGACGGTATCAAAGTCCGTCTCACAGGAATCTAGAAATTCTACCCGTTCCGGCTTCCGTTTGAGCTCACGTCTTGTGCTGTTGGATGCTATGGCCAGCGGACCAGTGAGCACACATAGCTTTGGCATTTCGGCAGCCCATGCGTAAGAAGCTGCTGAACAGCTTTAGATGAGATCGAATGGTGGATTCTTTGTGCCTGAACAACCTTGACACATCGAGAAGGACACGATGATTGACAGAGAGAACCGTAAAACAAGACGCAGTCCTTGTCTCTCTCTCTCTCTCTCTCCCTCTCTCTTTCACTTCCAGGTTATGGCGGGCTTCTGCGCAGTGATTTGGCACTTCGGTATCACAAAAGGGGGCAGAGACAGCTGAACATGCAGCTTTTTCACTTCCAGGTTTGCAACCTTTGTGCATAGAGAATATGTTAGCGCGTCAAGCACTCGGGGGAGGGATCGTATCAGGGATTTGACACCATTTTGCCAAAGGGTGTTGATCGCCATCCTTTGGCGATGTGGAGGTACATGAGAGGCCAAGCTAAGCTTATCTATCTCGTTCTGGGAACATCGGAGGCCATGCTGTGTGAGGTTGCGCAGCGGGCTCTCTCCAAGGAGGAACGCTCGCACCCTCGAGTCGAAGCTCTTCACGATCCCACGCCTCAGTCGATACTGAGGAGGGGCGTACGGAACGGGAGTGAGTTTCTGGTGAAATGTGTGAGCAGACACTGGAAAACACTGTGTGAGTGTCAGGATGACAGCTGAAGAGGGTGCTACATCTCTTATGCCATGCCTGCATGGCTTCGAGCTAGTCTTTCAAGAGTTCACGAGAGGCCGGGCTAGTTCTAGCATGAAAGCACGATGTCCCTGGCCAACTGGTTTCCATGGCTTTCTGGTGATTTCCTGGAGACCACATCTCTTCAGTCAGAATACGCATACTGACGTCATACATCTACAGTCAGTTGCAAGCCAAGATATTTCTTTCGTTAAAGATCACGGGATGCCTCTCTAAGGCATTTTGAAAGATGTCTTCGATCTTGCTTCGCAGCCAAAGCAGAGGCTGGGCGTTCTTTTTTCAGCAGGAGATCAGATCATGTGCCAAATGCTTGCATCCTTGGGAACCAAGGATTTTTGCGGCAGGAGGTGCGATCTTGGCCTGTTGCCAGCTGTGGCGGCAACCAGCGCTAGAGCCCTTGTACCGGATCGCAGCTAGCGAGGTGTCTCGGCAGCATATGGCTGAAAACCGGTGACCCAAACACGGTTGGAAAGGATTGGTAGGAAGCAGATCCTGCCAAGGAACACCTATACTACAAGGGAGTCCAGGTAGGGAGACCTTTGTCCTTTTTTCCTGTTCAGGGTGGCTACTTTGAGAGCCTCCGGAAGCTGCACATCGGCAGATCTCCACAAGTGTGGTCGCCAGCGGGTTGTGTCGAAGCAGCAGACCAAAGAGACCCAAAAAGAAGAGTGGAGGAAAATCACCAAAGACCTTTGTACCTCAATGGGGTTAAGTAGTACCTGGTATTTTCAGAGGTTAAGTCGGTTAGGTGAGGTCGCCAGATGCGTGGCGGATACAGCCATAAACCACAGCCATCTCGGCTCTTACAATTTTTTCGACGGGATTGGTGTAGACCACATGCTCCCACAGTCACAGGAGCAAGTCTTATATGGGTGTGTATTTGAACAGGAGACCCCCGGTAGGACCCCTGCAAAGAAGGGAAATAGACCAGTCTATACCCATTGGTTGGAAGGTCTCCGTGGCTGTTCTGCGTTTCAATCTGCTCCGTGGCTCGAGGCTTCCACGGAAGCATTCGCATTCGTTCGTTCGCACACCGAAACATTTGGAGCGGTCTTGAAATCCACACCTATCTCGGCTCCAATTCGGCTTGGAGAACTCCAAGTCTACATGTATCACCCGTATCACGGCCCGTATCTCTTGTTTGGAACTTGAAGGAGCTCCAATCGAGGCACTGGCACCCAACCCGTCGAACCGCCATGACAAACGACCGGCACCGGCGTGGCGTGGGCGTGTCATTGGCCAGGTCTTGGCCAACATCATGGAATTTGCGGCCGCCGACACGAAGACTCGCGCAGCTGCAAGGCAGGGTTCGTGGAGCTGTGAACCACAAACTGACCCACAGTCAGAGCTGTTTGTTGTTTTGGACAGTCTGAGCTGTTCATGTTTCTTCTCTTCAACATTCAACATTCTCAGCCCATTTCAAATCTCTAATTATAGAGGAAGACAAATAGTTGGCATCAGAAGAAACTGGGAAATATGCAATGCGTTTTTGATTTTGACAATCACAAGGTTTCCTGGAACGTTGACAATGGTCATTTGGCATACATGGGGGTGTAGTATTGTTGTTGCAGCAACCACCTGTCATGCATGAATTGGTGCATTTCCGCTTCCGCCCATTTTTGCAACAAACACTTGGCAGTAGTTTTCTCGTCTCTGTTGGCGGTACTGGGAAGATTCCAGGTGGGAATTCAATTGGTCAGACAGATCTCCCAGGGCAAATGGACCAAAAGACCCTTCTATCAAAGTTGAAAGAAGATTGCAGATATTGGACTTTCAAGCTGAGCCGATTCCAACAGCTTTGAATACCTTGTGGGGCATGTACGTGCCTTGCATGTCGCGTGTTGTGGTTGGCCAAACATTAGCGAGCTTGAGTGGCATTCTGCTGTTGGGGTCTCCAATCAGTATGTCCGGAAAACTCCTCCAATGCGTTGTTGAACCGAACATGGACGACGTGCCGATACATCCGAAACGATGTGACAACAATTCCATCTTGCGACCCTAAAGTCTTTTTTCATATCCATTTTCGTGACATTCCTTCAGAACAAGTCCACCTAGCAGGACCCACAAACCCGGCATTTTCTCAGCGTCTCAGTGAGGAAGAAGGCAGATCAGCTTTGGTTGCCCAATGCGACCGCCCGGAAGCGCAACGCGCAGCACAACTTCGGATTCACCTCCTCGGACGGGTCGAGTTTCGAGCGCTTTTGGGGGTTCCGGGATCAACGAGGTGCCCAGAAACCACGGTGGAGATGGGACTGGAGATGGGTCGGATGGTGAACATGCCCAGAAACCATGGGTCAGATGAGTCATGTGAAGGCTTCACCACCAGATGGTGCGCTGAAACTGCAAGGAAAGGTTCAAGGATGTTCAGGGTAGGTTTTGATATAATAACAACAACATTGGTGCATGGTGCATTGCATGGATAGAGTATTGCAGACATATTTTCTTGAAACATGGACACATTGACGTGTTTCGTAATGACAGGCTTGATAGAGAACAATGATACTCAATCCGGAAAGAAGAGTGTCTCATTCAACATCAAACAATTTGATTGAAGTATGTTCGATTGGTACATTTTGAAATCAGCCAGGCTTCAAAAAGGAGGAGCAACGCAACCAGTTCGTTGGAGCTGATCCATGATATTTCTTGCATGCTGCCAATGCTTTTTGTTTTAAGGCTTTAGCAGGCGGACGTGTTTACTGTTTGTTTTGCGCACTTGCCTTCAGAACTGTAGGTTTGAGCTTCAGAACTGTGGTTCCTTGGTTCCGAAAAGGAAGAATGCTGGTTTGGGAAATGAACTTCATTTTTTGTTTTCGGGGTTTGGCCATGCGGTTGTGGCCTCAAAGCGGGCGCATAGCCGCAGACGGGAGACGCAACAATTCGGATCCCACGTCACGCTCCCAACGCGAACCGCGATCCACCAGCATCTCTGGTATGAAGGTATTTCAGGCGAACTGGGGTCTCCCCCGACTGGCTATTGGTCTATTTTGTCTGAACATGCAGGACATCGATCTATTTATTTGCTGTGAGAATGAAGATGAGGGCATTGATCTACTTCGCAAGACACTTGGATGCAGTCCTCCTTTCGGGTGAACAAGGCAGAGAGGCTTGCAGCGATAGACAGGGACACCTAACAAACCTAGACTCCTTGAAATAATCTTGGAAGTGGATGGCATGGCCCGTGGGATGACCTTTTTCCTCTAGAAACAAGTGATTTTCCATTTGTCCATCATTTCCCACTTCCATGATTTCAGGGCCACTTCTATGGCCATCCAAGCATAGCAACTCAACACCTTGAAGGATCTTTGCAAACAACGCCCAGAGACGGGGGAGAGATGCTCTGACTTCTTGCGTCCTTTGTGTTCCGCGACCGACCAGGACAATCCACACAATCTGCAGCAACATTACTCAGAAGCGCCAGGGACCGGAAGACGGTCACTTGGATTTCATTTATAGCCAACAGAACTGGAGAAAGAACTCGACATTTTGGTCAACATGAATACATGATAATACATTGAATACATGGATGATTCTCAAATTCTCAATGTCTAATCACACCCACAAACAAACTGCTAAGCTTCTTTACCCATCTCAAGGCTTTTGCACTTCTCAAAGTCCCTGTGTTCGCGGTCAAAGTCCACGTTTTCACTCAAGACAGAACACACGACAGCACCGGACTCAGCACGACACCATGCAGCTTTCCAGGTGTCAACGCATCTGGCTACAGCAGAGATATTCGGCTTCTACGGTCGGCCAACGCTCTGAGCATTTGGGGAGGGTGGCCTCATCGAACGGTGCAGATTATGGTGATTCTGTACAAGGGAGCCTCGGATCCAATCACGAAGAAAGCAGAAAAAAGCAGTCCATGGAGGCATAGCCTGAAGGGATTTTTCAGCGCTAAAGCGCCACACTTAGAGATCTTTCATGCTAATCATGCTTGCTTCTTTCTTATTGGATGCACACCAGGCTGCATCTTCAAGAAAAGGCTGCTCTCAAATGCCGTTTCATGATGCTGTTCGCATTTGCCAAGGACCTGATGAGGTTTTGAACTTCTTTGACTTGGATTGTATTAGTTTGGGTCGGGCCCCTGTTGGGCAAGCTTGTTCAAACAGAACAGAATCACTTGGTGCATTTTTGTTGCCGTTATATCGTTGTTTCAATGGGGACACTGCAGAGTTCCGACTTGTGGGATCTGATGGTGATGACCTGACAATCTGACGATGCGATTGGACGCATACATTTCAAGAGCCTGACACATGCATGACGGCTCTGTGTACATTGCCCGCATTCATCATTCAGGCATACGAACCAAGCAATTTTTGCTCAATTTACGTCAGCTTGTGTTGTTGAATTCGAATGGGTATCAGTTTCTTGGAGCACACCACGTAAGAGGGCATTGTAGAGTGTGGGTGAAAAAGAAACGAGATAAAGACTCCACTGGATCTGACACTGTAGTTCCAGGTCATTTCACTGTACACCCCCCTTCTGTACCCGGTCCTAGACCAAGGGGCGGTCAGGGGGCGCCGATTAAGGGCACATGGCACAAGTCCTGTCTTGGGGATGAGCGGTTTGGGATGCAGGGTGCTTATCCAAATCTTCTGCCGGGAGCGGCTCCGCCACGTGACGATCCAGCTGAGGCTATGATGGCAAGAACGTGTGGGGACTTCCGCGCACTTTACGATCCTTGCAGACGGGCTTCAACTTTGTCGAGCCGGTGATGGACCAAGTTTTTTCTTTTCATGATGGACTGATGGACAAACTTTCAAACTGTGATTGAGCCTAGGTTCTTGTTAGACTCTTAGAGACAGTCTTTTCTTCTGGTTCCATCTTGGGAATTGGACTTGGTAAGAGACAGGTCACCACCAGACTCAATGCGACATCCAAACGCTTTGAGCCCAACATGTTCAAAAACGGCCACGATTCACCTCTTGGAGCCACGAGTCCCCTATAGGCGAAGCTCCGACGTTGGTCCACCGGGCCGCGGATCATGAAGTACAAGAAGCCGCCCGGTCGCAGGGGAAGAGCGGAGGATCTGGGTGGGAGCAGTCCCTGTGAGATAGGAAAGCATGGGAAAACCGCTGGTGGGCATTGGGTGCACAGTGGTGCTTCGCCACGACTTCATTGCTAACTCAGAGCCTTGTGACGTTTATGCCTCTTCCTCACTCAGTCATTCGCCATTTCTCGAGCTGCCAAGATATCATGAAAGGTCAAGGCAGGCAGGCTGGGCAGGCTGGGCAGGCTGGGCAGGACTGAGGCAGCGTTTTGAATCGAGTTCTGTGATTCCAAGAGGACTCACCTCCTTCCAAGAAAACCATCCATCGAATCCGTGAGACGGGCTGAGGCGGGGCTTTGGCACCGTCTTCTTTGAGATTTGCTTTTTGGCAGCACAGGGCGATGCTGACTTCGGCCAGGTGCTGTTCCATTTGAGGTTCGATTCTTCTTTTGCGTCTTTCAGAAGCGCTTCTTCGTGCGAAGTGCGTGCTCTTCGTGCCGATTCTTCTGCCGTGCAAAAAGGACGGGTGCTGGTTCAGGTGAGGTGCCAGCTCTTGATTGTTTTTCTCCACCACGCACCACGCGCACCACTCTCTAGTTACTCTGGTTGAATTGAAAGCGGAGAGAGTCAGAGAGGACAGGTCCCCCGTGCATAAGATTGTCACAGGGCCACGTCAAACCACAGGATTTGCACCACTGGCAGCCTCGACAAAAGTCGTGTAGTCTTTTTCCATGCAAGATCCGACCAAGTTGTTCCTTTCAATGTAGACTTCTTTGATATGGCCAGATCAAGGCAAGCATTCACCTCGCTGCGATCTTCCTGAAACCTTGGATGATGAGACAGCCAGACGGATTGCTGCGCTCCAGGGCTTTACCACAGCTCAGAATGACTTTGGCTATGGCGATGCTTCTCGGTTGGTGAGACTGGCTGGGTGATAATATACACTGACTGGCTATGTCAAATGCACAGGCCCACACGCAAAAAAGGAACGGGTGTCACCTCGTAGAGGTTCTGGTTTTGTTTCTGACCCAGTGAGTAGTGCTACCAGTGTCACTCAGGGAATGTGCCTAGGAAGAAGCACTCCTCAGCTCAGCTTGCAGGTGGAGCTGCCTTTTACAGCCCGAATGGTTTGGGGAATGCATCTAGCAACTCGGATGACTCAAGTTTGGCAGATGCAAACAGGCCTAGTTTGCCGCATTTCTTCGCACTTCTGGCCCGATTGGATGGCAACCAGCTCAAGAGCGTCATTTGTGGTGAAGGAAGGTTTTCAGGGATGTCAGCCTCTTAGACACACATGGTTCCACGCTCTTGAACATGGAAATGGGCTTGTGATGTCCGGCGTTTCCGAGGACATCTACATGGAGACGCATGAGCAACACCGGGAAGAGAGGCGCGCGAAGGTGGAGAGCAACTCCTGCGGCCTTTGGGAACCTGCCGACAATGCTTCTTGGACGCTACTAGGGGCGCTCCTGGCATCACCACCAGGAACCAGAAGCTACCTGGAACCAAGGGCATCGCTACTACTAGGAGCAAGGACCAGTACCTTTCTCAAGTCGGTCACTGTTTACACTTTGTGGAACCCGGGGGAATTGAAGTCGTTGAGTGGAAGAAGGAGGGGTTGGTTGGGGCTTGCTTTTGACCATTTTCGGCCCATCAATTCGTGCCTTCGTAGGAACCTCTTGAGCCCTATGGATTGGGCCAGCCACAAAGAGAAGGCCTGCTTAGGTTCTTTTTTCAGGAACATGAAGGAACCACTCCAACCACAACCACTCCAACCCCTTCGCTTTGAAGGCTGGACCGGTCCGGCCTTGAAACAAAGGAGACCCGTGGGTCCCGTGGGTGAATGGCACACTGGAGAGTCGCTCTCGAGTGAAGTGGGTCCTACGGGCTTTCACTGAGGACTTGGTCGCAGGAAAATACATCTACATCGCTGGGAATGACTCCGCTTCAGAGGAGTCCATCGAGTCCCGTGGCATTTGGAAGAGCTCTTTTTTTCCTATCTGAGTTCGCATGGCAAACCACTAGTTCGACTAGGCACGAGACCCAAATTTTCCTGAAAGTGGCTGCCTGCCCATTTTTGGGGGGTTCTGGCTTTCACACACCCCGTTGCTTTCGCACCAAGCTTGGCTTTTCGTGCCGGTCTCTCTATCATCTCGTCCCGCCTGCCAGTCTTAGTCTCCCTCGCGTCTCGTTTGCTGAGTCGTTCGTGGAACCAAATGGTGGACACCGAGGCAATTGTTAGCGGTGAAGCTGGAGACGCACGGCCTACCGGGAGTGAGGTGGAAGAACACCGATCTTTGGGAGAGTCGACGTGGCAACGAGTTCCTGTGCCTGGGACGGACCGACCTCGGACGGAGTGAAACCGACCGACGGACGGACGGAACCACGATGCGCGGCAGTCGCGATCGGGTCAGAAGAGATGGGAGTGTGGACATCTTCAGCGACACGAAGCATATGGAAAGCATATGGAAAGCATATGTACATTTTTTTTGAAACTCAATTGAAGTACCTTGCCCCAATCGTGCACGTGTTTTCGAAAACGCCAAGTTGATCCAAAGGCCACGCTGCTACATGTGTCGCAGCCGCATCGACCCCTCTGGGACATTGGCCGAACGGCCACGGCTGTGCGCATGCTGCGAAGCCATCAGCGTCCAGAAGCGCCAGCAGGTGGACCGGGGATTTTGGTGATGCCCACGATTAGTGATGCAGTGGTGGGAAACTGGCTCGAAAAAGATCCCAGAAGTGATTGTTTAAATCCTTTTTCTAAAATGTGGAAGACATGTGCAGCTTTGCTCAACAGCTATCTTCCAGAAAGTTCCGAAGCTTCTTCCGCACATGATAGTCATGCAGTTCATTGATTGCAAGAGATGCAAGAGGTAGTGCCCGAGTGCCCCAAATCACCTAAACTATTGCCCAATCCTTTACAAGCTTTTGATACGTTACTTTCCATCCAGGAGGCAGACCTCTCGGGCAAGAAAGCCATCGTCACTGGAGGGCGTCTCTGGGACAAAGCGGGAAGGGACTTGCTGCGGGGCAGGTTTTGTTGTGTGCAATATGAATGGCCAGTTTCCGGTACCCACCACAGCCCACACGAAATAGGTGTCAGATCTCCACTTCCGAAGCGACCATTTGAGCGTGGCATCCCGAGCGCACAGACCCGCTGAGCGTGGCATCGCCTCGGCGGACCAAGGTGTGAACATCGGCTATGCCACAGCCTTGCGGCTCCTGCGGCTGGGCGCAGAGGTCGCAGTGACCACGCGCTTCCCAAGGGATTGCTTGAGGCGATATGGCAAAGAAGAGGAGAAAGACGAAGCCCTCGCAGTACTGAAATCTAGGCAAGAATGTAAGCTGTGTAGCTCCCATTCGTAGGATTCCGAGCAATGGCTCTCGCGATTATCAGCGCCTTGGCGGTTCACTGCGGCTTTTGGCGTTTTCAGTGCAGTCATTGCTTAGATTGCATCCTTTCATGCCCTTGCTTCGTTCCTGGGCATGTTTACCCCAAGGTGTACGGGTCAGATTTCCGCTCGGTACCATTGGTGGCTGAACTCGGAGACAAGCTGGTGCCTTGGACACAGGATGACACAGATGTTGGAAGCCTGATGAACGCTCAGAATGTTGCGCTCACGCCGTCATCCTGGAAGATTTGCAAAGCATGTCGTACGTCGTACACTCTTTAGGCAGCTGGTCGCCATCGGATCCACGGCCCCCCACCCTACGCCGGTGGTGTCCCGGTGTCTCGGTGGTGTTTAGGTGGTGTCTCGGCGCGTCTTGGTCATGGTGGTAGTGTCTCAGATCTCGGTCACGTCTCGCTGGTGTCTTGGTCACGTTTAGGTGGTACCTCGGTATGTTCTGGTGGTGTGCCGGTCATATTTACTGTAGGTGGTATCGGTATCTCGTTCATGTCTGTCTGGTCATCTTTCTGTGGTGTCTCTTTGATGATTACGTGTTGTCTCGGTCATGTTTTGGTGGCGTGGTGGTCATATTTAGGTGGTATCTCGTTAATGTCTCTGTGGTGTCTCTGTGATGTTTAGGTGTTGTCTCGGTCATGTTTTGGTGGTGTCTCGGTCATGCTTAGGTGGTGTCTCCGTCATGTTTAGCTGGTGTCTCGGTGACGTTACGTGGTGTCTCAGTCATGTCTTGCTCATGTAGTGTGCCGGCTATGTTTTTTTTTTTTTCTGTTTTGCTGTTTTGGTGGCAAATCGGTTCTGTTTTCACGCTTGTTCGCTGACATTTTGGTGTCTCGCTTCGCGGTCTCTGACTTGTGCGCTTGCATGTCCATACGCCTGGTGCACATTGCCCGCGGGCGCTTCATTCAAGCTTGTTTCTTCTCTGGTGCCAGAACTTACTTTATGGTCTCTCTGACAACTGCATTCGTTGTACCTTTCGTGTATAAATTTTACGTTCGTCTGTAATTGCACTCTCTGTCTGATTTAGTGAAGTGATAATGTTTTGTTGTCCTCTGTAAAGCTATTGTTCCTCACATTCCTTGTGCGACTCGAACTTGCACGCATATGTGAGAAATGTTTATATAGTTTATGCGTGCACACACCTCTCCTTGGTGCGATTTTGGTTTTACCGTGTAGAAATAGAAATGGTTCTTCAGACCTTTACACCATGAACAAACACTTGAGCACTTGAACATTCAATTCAGCCATCAGTGAACATTCCTTAAGTGCTTCGTTGTCTATGGAACATACTAACTTGGATGTTGAATTATTTGCGTATTTGTGTGTAGAAACTATTGGATTGCATGTCGCTTTTTGTGTGTTTAAAGAATTGTCCTCAAAATTCGGTTTGTGAAAGAACAACGCAACGAACAACGCACGCAGAAAACAGGTGCTAAATCTTGGTGGATGCCTTGCTATTGGGGTTGTCAGCTGGGTTAACTTTTGTGGGGTTCTTACTTTTACTGCGCATCCCCCCATCTTCCGCCCACCTTCCGCCTTCCGCCCCTGTTGCTTGCACTTTACGGAACTGACTCACTTGAACTGACTCACTTCACTCGCACCAACTCGTCTGACATTTTGCACCAACTCAACTCACTTACACCAGTTCACCTGTCTTCACTCACACTCACACTCACTTGCACTCCGTGGTGATTCTCTGCGTTTCCCTGTCTTCTTGCCTTGCTCGTCTTGACTCTACAGGGGATGGGAGGTTCTGCTGATGTGCCGTCCGCTGCACGAGTCACTGACACTCATCGCATCGCGCCGCATCGCATTTGACCTATGCTCATCATCTGCACGCATCCCTCCCGTGTCGTTCTCCTCCTTCTGTTCCTTCCCTCCGGTGGTCTACCATAAAGCTTCATATGTGGCTGGTCCTTTCGTTTCTGCCTAATTTCGATGGGTTCATGCGTCGGCCAGACGAGCTCATGACTCTCATACGGCATATACGGTTCAAGGGTTCAAGCCTTCGCGGAATCTGCCAGGCCCTCGCTTTTCCGCGGCTAGACATTCTCATCAACAATGCAGCACAGACAGTGCGACGTCCCGCGGCGCACTATGCTGAGCTGGTTCGTGGCGAAGCTGAAGCACTGGAGCAACGCTTGGTGACTCGGCATGGGTTCGAAGCGTTTGTTGGTTGTCTGTGACAGCTTGCATAACTGGGGTTTGCCGAACTGGTGGAGCAAGAATTGTGTCATCAAAGAGTCCATGGCCCAAAGGAGCTGAAAGGCTGAAAGGCCTAGGCGGTAGCCTTAGTGAGATGGCCGGCTAGCTGAGGAAGCACGCATCATGCAGGCGAGTGACCTAAAGTCCTTAGACTCTTGGAACCAAAGAGTCCATTTGCTGAACAACACAAATGTGATCGGGGTTCTGGATTTGTTGGAGCAGCTAATCCAATCGTGCAATTCCCCCATGTTTCCCTGAAGCTTCAGATTTGCACTCTTTCCGATAGACTTTCAGGAGCCTTTTTGCCACAGCGTAACTTTTTCAACGCAATCTGTTCTCACTTTGCCGGTTCAAGCCAAGAGACCGAGGAAAGCTTTGAGCCGGTCGGGATGATTGCGGATGCCAGTGGTTCAGGCGGAACTGGTTCAGTGATTGATGGGGGTCGGGTGAGGCCCCTGGGGTCTCAGTCAGGGCCCCTCAGTCAGGGTGTGATCACCCTCCGCCCCATTTGAGCGAGAGCGGTGGGTGCACAGGAGCCATGGCGAGAGCGGCGCCAGGTGCTGTGGAGGAGATGAAGGCCTCGTTGGGGAACGTGATGTGCCGTGGAGGATTCGAGAGGATCCTGTGGTATCGGGGCATACTGTATATGGCTCTTCTCATGTGTTGGATGCGTTTCTGGCAGAAGAAACCACATGTCCCAGCAGAAGTGCCTGAAGCAGCTGGCTTTCTAGCTACCATTAAAGGCATTGCAAAAACGATTTGCAGCATTTGGCATCAGCTTTTTCGACAGGAACAAGGGCAGGGTTTCATGTCCAGGACGACAGGGCAGCGACAAGCTGGACTGCGAAGATTGGAGACATTTCTTGGGTGGAAAGCCTTGAAGTGCAGGTTGTGAATGCTTCTTGATTGCATTTGTTGAATGCCTCCGGTGGCGCACCTAGATGTCTACCCTGGTGGATTTGATGGGGTTTAGTTTAATGTATATGCTACTTATTGTACACATACATACACGTACAGGTAGCAGATGACCTCAGACCTTTCTGAGATTCCTAGATTGATTGACAGGTGACCGCACCATTCACACTTCTCAGCAAGCTGAAGCCGTGCCTGCTGGTGAAGGTGCAAGCTGGTATTGCGATGCCTTTCCCACGTACATGACACTAGGCTCTATTTTATTGAAAAGGACTCAGCATCAGCATTAGGAGCAAGGGCATCGCTACTAGGGGCTCCTGGCCTTACTACTAGGAGCAAGAACGCTACGAACCGAGCAAGGGCATTTATTGCGGCTTCTTTCAGTTGACATGTTTCTTCCTTCCACCATCTCTCCCCTTCCTTCCATATCTGAGAGACGCCCCGGACACCGCGTCTTGGAGCGTGAACAGACGCCAACCCAACGACCGCCAGGATGAGCCCTTGAAGTTGGTCCAGACGTTCACCTCACAAGGGTGGGTGCCGGCCCTGTTGACACGTTGACACCGGTGGAAGGACACACCGACTGGAGTTGTTCAGAACACCGGTGGAAGCCATGGCTGAGGCGCGTGCAAGACTGCACGCGTCCAGCCAGTACTTGTGTTGCCCTGATGCGCCTGACTGCAGGTTGAGCACAGGGAGGATTCGTTTCACCACATGCAATATGAGACCTTTGGTGCAAGTGCTGCTTGGTGAATCCAGTCCTGGTTGTGAATGTCACGGAAGATGTTTGTGATGATGGATCAAATGAGTCGGTCTTGATCCGAAACCCAGACCGGATCGGTCAGGCTTTCTAGGATTCTCAAAGCATTTTTAAAAGAACGTTTCAACATTCATCATTGGACTTTGCTTCGTGCAAACCAAGGACCTGCTGTCCCTTACAGCTCTGACAGACGCCAAGGCGTCTTGGCGTCTGTCAGAACGAAGATTGGAAGGGGGAGGCTAGACTTCTGTGCGAAACGGGTTCTCTTGTACCTTCTTGCGACTTCGTTCAAGTGTCCATGTTCTCATTTTCCCAGGGAGCTTCGAAGCCTTCAATTCCATACAATCCACCATTCGGTGATGTCTAAGGCCTAGCAATTCACTCTTACCTCCACGGAAACCCATTCCACAAGTGTCACCCTGTTTGCCATACACTTAGACTCTATCCCAAAGATTCTTGACGCGCAAAAGGCTTGTAGAAAGAAAGCCAGAAGCTGATTCACTTTCAGTACTGGACAGATACGCGAACCTTTCGGAACATCTCAACAGATTTACCGGTGCACTTTTTTCTTCAAACAAGAGCCTTGAACCCCTTAGCTGAGGTGAAAAAGAACATGCAGACGCGACGGCCTTTTCACCCACCGATTCAAAAGGCCTTGGCGAAGCAGATGCGCCGCGGGGCTTAGCTCTTGGACCGAGTGGGTCTCATCAGGCAACAGTATACCGCTATATATTCATTCTTATTCTTATCATTATCATTACAATTTTCATGTACATGTTCTCTGGGATGTCTGAAAAATCTCCTCTCCGGCCACCAAGGCTTTGTTGTGCGCCTCTACTGCAAGATACAGTGGAATAGAGGGCCCTTGTTCTAGAACCTCAATTTCTTTCTTTTTGGCGAAGTTGATGGACAAAGACATGAATAAAAGCATAGGGCTGCGCCGATGTTCACATATCACCTTTTCTTGAAAAAGTGAGCTAGAAAAGGCGCATCTTGCTTCAAGATTCAAGTTTTTGCTTTGCTTCATGGTTTTGCATTTTGGGTGGACTGCGAAGGGACCGCACTATCAAGATATTCCATGCTTCCTTTATAGATACTTGTCCGGGTGTAGGTGCGTTGATTGGAAGTTATAGGAAGCACAGCAAGGTGCATTGATTGGAAGCAAAGAGATTCACAACTTCTCCGTTTACGAAGCCTAGATCGAACGTGTGTTTGCTTCGGTCACAAGCAGAACCTTCTTGCGGGGAATACGATGGACGTGGTGATCGGATTCTTTCCCTCTCAAATGGTCTTTCTCTTCCTTCACCGGTTCTTGCCCGGCCCTTGAGGAATGTGACCTCTCAGGAAGGCTCTTTCCGGACTTTGGGCAACAAAGGTCGGGGCTGCATAGCACAGACAGACAGGCTGCGAACTCTTCCCTCTTGCTAGGAACCAAGGGCAACAAAGGGCCCCTGGGCACATCTCCCAACTTGGGGAGCTTGTTGGTTTCAAGTTGCACTCATACCCAATGATTTGCTTTGAACAGAAGAAAAACAGCATATGCTTGGTCTGGAAGACACTTTTTTTTGCTTTGATCAGGCACCTGTGATTCAGGCACTTGTGTGACGATGCTATCTGGTGTCACACTCCACACAAGTGGCGAGTTAACTCCAGGATGTTTAGTAACAAGTGGCGAGTATCGAGTGTGCACAGCTCTTGTACTCCGAACTTGCGCGGCCAGGTGCAAATCATCCGCACACGAACATGGCCAAAGCATCGCTGAACATGATGACATGTTCGGTGGCCGACGAGTTCAGCAAAGAAGGCAAGAGTTCTGTGCACACTTCGGATTTCATAGGATTCATAGGATTCCATAGGATTCATTGCACATTCATTCATAGGATTCTTTTGTTTCGCAGGAATGGAACCATCAGATGTTGCCCCTGTCTCTCCTTGGACAACTGGTTGTTTGTGAGGCTGTCACAGGAACCGTTTCTGCAATCCCCAAGGGCACGACACCATTCCGTTGCTTCGCTCCGCTCGTTGCACGTCGCGTTGCGAAAACCTCCAAGTGTCGAATGTCACCAAAGCGTCGAGCGGACGGGACGGAACTGATGCAGAAATGTCGACACTGGCCTGCTGTGGTGTGAGAATCACTCGTGAAAACACCTGTTTCAGGCGTTGCAGTGGTGTCTGTGGACACTGGCTGGATCTCGAAAATGATCCTTTGGCAGAAAACGATTGTACTATTCATGGAATATCTAATTCAATGACGACATTGTGAGGTATGCGATCTCACTTAGTATGAGTTGTAGGCAAATGCTTATATCATAGCTACTAAACGTGTCATGGCTGCGGAGTGACCTGGCTGTGGAACATTTCTTTCCTCCGTGAATGCCTTTGCCCCTCCTCTGAGGAAGCCAGATCCGCTTGCAGAGACTGCCGCTTGCCTATCCGCACCTGAAAGTCTTGTAAGATCCAGTGTGAAAGGCACAACACTTTAACTCAGAACAGGATTCGGATATATACAATTTTCCATGCAATAGCCAGCCGGCATAGCCATTCCATGCCATTTCCCCCTACGTCTTCGCTGTGCAAGGAGCCTCACATACAAAGTTTGCCTCCCTTGACGGCAGAGGACGGAGCAGCACGTGTTCTGGATCCCATCTTAGGTGCCTTGACACTTGGCATGTCCAGCAGAAGTTTGATTCACTCAGAATCAAGGTAGTCACGTCTGGCAAGACCATTAGAGGGAGAATGCAGGCGCTCTCAGCGCTCTTTTTGGCTCTCTATATATAGCTTCTAAGCTTGCAACCAGCTTTCTGGTGAGGACTCTTTTTCCCTTTATCTTTTCACAAGCAAGTTGGTTTTGTTGTTTGGTTGGTCCCCACAGCTAGGTGTTTCAAGTCGTGAATCGAACTAACTGTCTCTGCGAGACATCGATTCGCTCGATACGGATGGTTCTCCGCAATGAGGTGAGTCCGGTCGGTGAGTAGGGTCAGCACCATTGGTGTATCTCTTCAGCCCCTCTGATTCTTATTTTGACAAGACTTCCAAGTCAAATGGGCCCGGTCAGCAAGCTGTTCTGGTTGCTTTGAACTCTGAACAGCTTTCAGTTGCTCAAAGGTCTTGTGCGGATTTCGTGAAACAATGAAACCGTTGCCGGTACGACCCTTTCGCTGCACGACACGACCGGTAACCCAGCGCACACGTTTTTGGGGTTCCGACGCAGCACTTCGGATGTGGTTTTCGCTGAGACAAGGACTGCTTCGCACTTCGCCGGGGGCTTTTCAGGTCGGGCACTGTCGCCCTCGACAAAGCTCGCTTTCGATGGGTTGAAGTGTGGCTTTGAGCCAACGGTCGCGTAACCATCTGCCCGCTGGAGCATTCCCCACATGTGTAAGTTGGTATGTGCGCCGGACAAGCTAAGAGATTCTTGGAGCTCAAGTCACATCTTCCGTCACCTCTTGTAATGTTCATGCTGGAGCACTTGCCTTGCTGGGATTGCTATTGTTCTGGTGCGAGATTGTAGAGAGGTTTGAGCCATTTTCCAGCTTTATTTGGCTTTAAGGAATGGAGTGATCCCCGTCACTGGATGCCTGCTGCGGAATTTTCGACCGGTGGATTGGTGATGAGTGGGGCATGGGGCCAGCGAAGCTCTATAGATTTAAGATGATTTAAGCTCAGTTTTGAATGCGGCAAGAGCCCGCTGTGTGCTTAGACCCTTGAGCAGCTGCTTGAGGAAAAGCTCACTTGGATGGAGGCATGAGAAATTGTACATGAAAGCCAACGCAAATACGCAGGCCGGCAGAGACCTCACCATATTGATCACATTTGCTGAAAGATCGAATGGGTCAAGAATGGTTTGGGTGAGCAAGACGAGCAAGAGCGCCTCCCTCCAAGTGTTTAGGTAGGTGGATACTGAATCTGACCTGAGTTGGTCCCAGTGATGCGTGCAAGATGCATCAATCAATTGAGTAAAGCAAGGGCTCCTTTCGTCCTGCAAAATGAAGTCGTTTCTGTCTCAGCTTACGAGCCTGGGCGATGCGAGGTATGGTGGGAAGAAACGACAAGATCTTAGTCCTGTAGTCCTACGACCGACAATGCACAGGAGCCCCGACAATGCGTCCAAGTAGAACACTCAATTCCTTACAAGGTTTGGCAGTTCCGTCCAACAGTGGCCCAACAAGCCCAAAAGTTAGACGCGGTTGTGGTGTTCGTCTTTGGGGCTCAGAGGGTGTGTAATTACCGTTCCTCCATCCTTAGGAATTAATCCAAGGCCGCCCTGAGCTCTGGGATTACATAATTGTTTGGATTAGTTTAATTTTCCAAATTCGTACACAAGTCCTGACGGGGTTGGAAAACAAGACGTCGTGCAACATCTTTATGAGAAGTTGTTGGATTAATTAGCTCGCCAGGGGGTGGATTAATTGTAAAAGGGGGGGGAGAGCAGAATGTGGAGACAAGGACTTGAAAGAACTTAAGTACCAGTGGATTTTGCGATATTTTGTACTATTCTTTACTATACTGTACTTGTTTTTTTCTAAGTCCAGGGGCATGTCGAGAATGAAATTCAAGAACAGAGGCTGTTCAATCTGGTGGGGTCAGGCCGGCAGTGCTTGGATGGGGATGGGCGAAGAGAGACGCGAAATAAATCCAGGGGTAAGTAGTGAACCATCCTATCCGATTAGTTTTGAAACACCATTTTCATGACTCAGAATCAGCAGATTAATCACGTGGAGGCACCCCCTCCTGATTAATTAACTTAATTGCTGACTGATCTTTGCTTATGACCTTGTCAACACTCAAACCCCGCTCGAATTTCCTAATCCAGACCTGGAGCAGCTCAGGATTAAATAGTTGAGGTACCCTGGATTCAAAAAGAGACATCCAGGGCAGGGTAGATGACCCCCTCTAAGGACGGGGAATCAATTACACCCAAGGTTTGCACATCTGGGTTTGGCACATCTGGATGGAACCCTGAAGAGGCTCGCTGCGATTCCTTGCACCAGCTGATGCTGGAAGGCCGGGAGGACCAGTCGAAAGCGTCAGCGTTGAGCTGATGTTGGAATCCACCGAAACTGCTTGGTACAAAGACCTCGTACTGTCACGATACAAAGACCTTGTCTATCCAGCTGTCGCATGAGAGTCAAGATTGCAAGCGATCGCTGCGATCCAGCTCTGGATAGGCTAGGAGAGTGGCATGAAAGGACCACAAACTTGATGCAACTGTAGCACCCACAACCAGTCGTTTTATGGCTGGTGGGGTCTGGTTTGCGAGGCTGCTGGTCAAGCACCGCGGTCTGGGTTTTGAATCGAAGCAACACCCTGCGGTCTAGGCCTCGGGCAGCTACTAGACCCTGGCGAGGCGGACGTCGGAGGACATCGTCCGAAGGTCAACGAGCTCAACGGGCTTTTTGGAGTGAAGCCATTTCGACTCTCATGGTGGGAGTCGACTCAAACAAGATCTGATCCTAGACTCTTTGATCCACCTAACGAACATGAGCAAACGGACCACATGGAACCTGAGAAAGGAGCCGCAGACTTTCGACCCTTTGATCGAATGGTTTCGGCCCAATGGTTCTTCCTCCGGATCCATCCGGATCCATGATCGTTGATCTGATGATCCAGAGCGCCGTTGCTTGGATTTTACCCGACTTCATTGCAAAGCTCCTCAGTCGTCCTCCTCCCTTCCCCCGTCCTTCACCCCCATGGGGGGTCGACTCGACTCCGCAGATCACCGAAATCCTGGAGCGGCGCCGGAAGCCTCGCATCGACCTCTTGTTGGGGTGGCCGAGAGGGGGAGAAGACACTTAGACAATGGGTTTGCAGTTAACTCAATTCCCACGAAAAATGGACGCAAACGGCAAGGCGGCTGGGTCAGTGGAAGTGAAGGTGTTTAACAAAAAGGTTTGCATGACTGCGGACTCTAGTTACGGAATACGTAGCGAGCGAAAAATGGACGCAAACGGCAAGGCGGCGGGGTCAGTGGAATTGAAGGTGTTTAACAAAAGTTTGTATGACTGCGCACGTTAGTTACTGAATACGTCGCGAGGGAAACCTGTTTTGGGATCCATCATGAGAACGACCATGGAAGCAAACCAAAAAAGTAGACAGCGTGAACAACAGTCGTCTTGCAGGTACACACCAAGGCGTCTCTTGGTGCTTCCCCTGTCACATCCCAGCTTCGTTGGGCCAGGTCGGATGTGACAGGCCTGCCCCCCTGCATGAACCAACAAAAACTCCTTCGGACAGAGCGTGACACACACAGAGCGCCGATATCGGCGCTCGAGAGAAAATTACTAACCACCTAAAAAGCCTTAGAAAGAAAGGAAAGAAAAGCAGAAAGAGAAGCCGAAGAGGGCAAGAGAGAAAGGTAGGTGGAGTGACGAGGCCCACTAGTTACGAGACCTTCTAGTTACTGACTACTTAGCGGTATGAATTAAGTGCACTAGTTAGCGATCGGGACATTAGTCTTAAACCGCCCGGGTAGATAGGACTAGGACAGGAGAAACAGAAGGAAAGGCACCGACACACAAGTGTGTCGAGTACCATTTCCTTCTGTTACCCTAGATAGCGGGTGGGATAAAAGTGTGAATTCGCGTGCAAGGTGGGGGGGGTTGTGTGTGTGGCACATGTATATGACCGTAAACCCGGCGGTTGTCGAATCTCCGTAAACTCGGCAGTGTTGTGGCAGGAAATTCATTGGGTGAAACAAAGTTCACCAAACCAGATCCCACGATGGCGGCACTTCGAGCCAGAAAAACGGTAGTCCGGAGTGGCTTCAGCGCCTCTCTTGCGAGAGGGTCGCACTCTGCACCCAGTGGGACGACACGGAGCGGCGCACACTTAGACAATGGGTTCGCAGTTAACTCAATTCCCACGAAAAATGGACGCAAACGGCAAGGCGGCTGGGTCAGTGGAAGTGAAGGTGTTTAACAAAAAGGTTTGCGTGACTGCGGACTCTAGTTACCGAATACGTAGCGAGCGAAAAATGGACGCAAACGGCAAGGCGGCGGGGTCAGTGGAATTGAAAGTGTTTAACAAAAGTTTGTATGACTGCGCACGTTAGTTGCTGAATACGTCGCGAGGGAAACCTGTTTTGGGATCCATCATGAGAACGACCATGGAAGCAAACCAAAAAAGTAGACAGCGTGAACAACAGTCGTTTTGCAGGTACACACCAAGGCGTCTCTTGGTGCTTCCCCTGTCACATCCCAGCTTCGTTGGGCCAGGTCGGATGTGACAGACCTGCCCCCCTGCATGAACCAACAAAAACTCCTTGGGACGGAGCGTGACACACTTATAGAAATGCATGCTGACTTGACAGCGGTGCCACATGTCAGCCTAAGTGAAAAACCTAAGGGTCCAGGTAAAACACCACAAGAAA